GATTCGTGTCATCCCAATTGAGCAATTTTGAGAAGAAAAAGATGATTCAGGTCTTCAGTAATGGTAACAACATTCATACTCAGGCTTCAATCTTCAAAATTCATTCAAAAACCATCCAGAGAACGGTGAATAAGTTTAAAAAAGAGGGAACAGTAGAGAGGAAAACTGGATCAGAAGGTCACAGCAGGAAGAGGGATCATCATTTCAACTTAGAACTAAAGAGATCAATTAGAAAAGAAATCCATACGTTTGTCACAGGATAGAAGAGGTTCAGCTATGACAGTCCAAAGAGCAGTTAAAAAAGACTTGAAAATGAAATTGTACGTGACACGTGTGAGGCAACTTGTTACTCCAGGACAGAAAGTTAGAACGTTAAAGAGGGCGAGGATCATCCTGAATCAGGTTGAAAATCACCCTGGAATAATATATATATATATATATATATATATATATATATATATATATATATATCAATCCTTCATTTGTTTCCGATACTTATCTATGTTTAATCACTCATGGCTGACGCTGGACTCCAGAACCTCAACACACTACGTCTTCTTGGCCTCACGTTTTCAGTGTTTCATGTGGTTAGACAGAGCTTGGAATTATATATTAATAAAAGTACATATTCATACGTTCGAAGTGCAACTTAAAGTTTCGTTGTTCTACCAACTCATCAGGCACAAATTATTACTTTTTAGTTTTAGATGGATGGGTTTGTAGAACTACGTACTTTAAGTTACACTTCGAACGTAGGCAAATGAATATTCATTAATATACACTGGCGAAAATAAGTTTTAAGTCAGATCGTTAAAGTTTAAATAATTTCAGAATATGTTTCTAATAAAACAATATAATTTAGTTTTTATTGTGTCCTATTTATGCAAAATTTATTCCTCTTTTGAATGATGTAAAAATTGTATATTTTTCTACGACTTGAAAAATGCTGGATTAATTTAAATTATCCCAGTTTGCCGGCAAAAATGTTTAAGCCCGCATGGGTATTATTATATTTAAAGCAAAAAGTTATAGTTAAAATGAGCAAAAAAAGAAAATAATTGTCAATATTTAATGCCATAATCTTTATTATTAATTACAACTTCACATAGACATCGAGCTTGATAAGTTAGCACAAAAATCATTTAAATGCTCTGCCATATTTGCTTAATATAATCGGATAATTGGACTAAATTGTCGTCGTGAACTCTTAGAAATATAATCACATAAATTTTTATTCGTAAGGGCCACTTAACGACATTTATATTATGGTGATCAAAAATTGCATTACTTCTTTGCTTTTGTGAATGTAGTTATTATCTTGTTGATAAATAGCTCCAGGTACATTTAGTCAATCGACTATAGCAGAAAATATTCCTTAACTAGCTGCATATAGACTACATTGTTGAGGTTTCCGTCAATGTTAACATTTGGACTAAAATCGAAGCTACTGAAAACAATTCGCTTCCCACTTGCGCCGTCTATTGGACATTTAGGATGGAATTCCTCAGTAAGGAAACATCTGACAAAGGTTTCTCCATCCGATCCAAAGATGCAAAAGCGTAACTCGTCACTCGAAAGAACTCTACACCAGACGATTGGATCGATTTCTCTCCGAAATAATTTTTTTTTTTTTTTTTTTTTGCTAGCAAGTACTTTCCATCTCTCTCTGAGATCATCATCAGATATGAAACAGAGACAAAAACTATGTGTAGCTATTTTGTCTTTTTGCGTTTAAATACAATGACTGACAGTCATGCTTTAGAAATAAAAGTGATTTTCACGGTTACAGTGCATTTCTTGCATCATTTGATTGTAATACACGGAAAAATATATGTGAATATGATCGGTTTATTCTAAAAATAATGATTGTAATCTATTTAATCAGACATGCCTTAAAGAGAATATTAATATTTTTGTTTCCTAAATACACACACACACACACACACACACACACACACAGATAGATAGATAGATAGATAGATAGATAGATAGATAGATAGATAGATAGATAGATAGATAGTGTTGTGGTACGATCCACCTAATTTACATAGTGGAGTACCGACCATATAAATATGGTTGGTACCGGGAAGACGGGGGAGGAAGAAGAGATCCAATCCAGAGACTCTGCCCGACTGCGATTAAGTCAACCCATTCTACAGGAACGGTCTTCCCAAGAATATACCAAACTATCTGTAAATATTGTGTACACGTTCTTGTGTCAATACATTTTGTTTAAGTACATTTTGTGTTGTATTATTATTATTCCATGCTTTATTCAAGTTTCAACAGATAGATAGATAGATAGATAGATAGATAGATAGATAGATAGATAGATATTAGTGGACAATCAATATATATATATATATATATATATATATATATATATATATATATATCCGTATGGGTAGGCCCAAGGAGGATGAAATCCTGAAAGCTCAATGTAAATTCAGAACTAAGAATTTAAAGAAAAACTGACCATTTAAGGCTCCATTGTAATAGTTTATTTCACCAGAAACCTTTTAAAGGGCGCTGGATCATCAGGCATCACTTCCAAAAGTGGAAGTGATGTCTGATGATCCAGGATACTTTAAAAGGTCTCTGGTGAAATAAACTATTACAATGGAGCCTTAAAGTTGTCAGTTTTTCCTTAAATCATAAATATATGTAGATAAATTCCCAAGAGGATAGAATCCAGGTATATACAGGGGTTGGACAAAATAATTGGAACAGTTGCAAAATCCACTCCTATATTTCAAAGACTTATTATATTAAGAACTTTAACTAAAACTTCGTAATTGCAGGTTATATCTATTGTAAATACATTTACTTATCTAATTTACTATCTTTGTCTTATGTATTTTTACAATTTAATAAGATTTGAGCTAAATGCGTGACCTCTTCGAGTTCGAAAATGAGCAAATTTTTGGAGCTTGCATGGCAGGAGCCTCGATCGCTAAGGTTGCTGAACTGCTTGGTTTTTCAAGAGCTACCATATCAAGAACACTGATGCAATTCGAGAAATAGGGCAAGACCTCTAGCAACCGTAGCAATTCGGGCCGGACTTGCAAACTTACTGACAGGGACTGACGTGCATTGAAACGCAATTTGGCAAAAAATCATCGGACAAATGCGGCCAAAGTGACTGCTGAGTTGAATAACCATCTGAGTAGTGCAGTTTCTACTAAAACTGTTCACCGTGAGCTCCATAAGGTTTCATATCATGGAAGAGCCGCTGTGAGGAAACCTCTTCTCTCCAGTCGCAACATTCAAAAGATGTTGAAGTGGTGCAGAGATCACAATGCCTGGTCTGCAGACCAATGGAAGCAAGTCATATTCTCAAACAAGTCCAGTTTTTCTCTTTTCCCAACTTCAGGGCGAGTTTATGTGTGGAAGCAGCCCAAAGAAGCTTACAACCCTGACTGCCTTCTTCCAACAGTGAAGCATGGAGGTGGATCAGTGATAGTTTAGGCCGCCATATCATGGAAATGTCTCAGTCCAATAGTTGCCCTGCATAGTAGAATCAACAGCAAAGATTAGCTGAACATTTTGGGAGATCATGTTCATCCAATGGCCAAGACTTTATTCCCTGATGGTGACTCCATCTTCCAAGACGATAATGCTCCAATACATACCGCTCGAGTGCTTAAGAATTGGTATGAAGAGCATGAAAGTGAGCTAGAACACATAGAGTGGCCTCCCCAATCTCAAGATATCAATATTATTGAACATTTGTGGTGCATTTTGGGGCGACAAGTTAGGAGCCGCTATCCTCCACTGCCGTGTCGTAAAGAGCTGGAGAAGGTTTTAATGGAAGAATGACTGAAAATTTCTTTTGGATGAAATCAGGAAGCTGTATGATTCCATTCCTAGACGTATTAAAGCTGTCTGCGAGGCTAAAGGAGGACCAACTCCATATTGAATAAATTTTCTTTGAATTTAACAAGTGTTCCAATTATTTTGTCCAACCCCTGTATATATAAATGTATGAAAATGTATTGAAGTTTAATCCTAGTTTTTTTTTCACTTTTCAAAGAATTTATTGAACTGTACACACACATTCGTCTGTATGTGTTTAGTTCTTTCTGTCTTTCCATTATATCGCCGAATTCCTTTGATTCAGCTACGAATGTCGGATGTTTTCTACTCCCGATTGCTCATCTTTTTTCATCGTTTGAAATCAAAGATTTACTCTGCCTACAGCCGAATCGTTTCTGTCTAGTTGTTTCCCGCGCTGGGATAGTATGACTTCGGATTCTTCGACCACAACACACTGATTCGATCTTCGACTCAACTCCGAAGATTTCCAGTGGACCAAACGAAATCGTCGCACGTGTATTGGACTAAAGACAGAAATATGACCGACGTCAACATTCTCTTCCAGTAGATTTCCTCAAATCGGCTCCGTCTATTGTCACAGCGCGCACGCACGCAGACACACACACACACACACACACACACACACACACACACATATATATATATATATATATATATATATATATATACTGGATTGCAATACAAATGTTATATCCCACATTACCTAAAAAGACTTTATCAGTTATATTGCAATTTTCTACTTCTTATTTATGTGATTTAGGCTTCTCAATCCTAAATAATAGCAAAAATAAGAAGCGAGTAAGACTACGCTCAAATGAAGAAGAAATGATGGTCTGCTTATCATCCATTGATTCATTTTGGATTTCAATACAAAAGGAATATCCCACATTAGCTGAAAAGGCTTTATCAGTTTTATTGCAATTTTCTAATTCTTATTTATGTGAATTAGGCTTCTCAACCCTAAATAATATCAAAAATAAGAAGCGAGAAAGACTACGCACAAATGAAGAAGAAATCAGGGTCTGCTAATCACCCATTGATACATTTTGGATTTCAATACAAAAGGAATATACCACATTAGCTAAAAAGGCTTTATCAGTTTTATTGCAATTTTCTACTTCTTATTTATGTGAAGGCTTTTCAACCCTTAATAACATCAAAGATAAGAAGCGAGAAAGACTACGCTCAAATGAAGAAGAAATGAGGGTCTCCTTATCGCAAACCTTGAAAAAATCACGAAAAAAAACGCTAAAGTATTATGAATAATCAAGAATGATCTACCCTTGTTTTGTTACTCTCCTCTTTGAGAGAGCTATTTCTGTTTACTGGGACTATAAAAGGACACTACACGCGAGCCTTATATTCTCAGTTGAATAAAGCTTTCTTAAAGCCTACATCTGCATACTTTTGCCATTACAGGTTTCACACTAAATAGGATGCTCAAATGGCTAAATAAAAATCATTGAAATTAAGTAAGTTTATATTTGTGTGTATATTTAAAAAAAACTATGGTTTTATTTCGTAACATTTAAATGTATACCCTTTTAAAATGCTGCTAAGTGTGCCGTGATATTTTAGTTGCTTAAAAAGGTTGAGAAACGCCGATTTACAGGGACTGAAAGAAAATTTGAAAATTCAAATGATTTGAAAAGTCAATAAATGTACAGGTTTCAGGAAGACAGAATATGGCGTTTTAATATTCATATTTTTAAAAGTAGTTTTATTTTTATTAAATTTAACTTTGTAAAATTTTCCTTCATTTGAGTAATGAATATTGACCTATTTTTCATATAATTGTATTCAATATTCTTTGTTTAATTCAACATTTTTACATGATTAATTATGAAATAATTACGAATTAATTTCGTCGAATTTTCCAGTATGAAGGAATAAGCCTTTGATTTAATAATTTTACATTTTTTAAAAATCTATGGCTTTATTTCATAACACTTAAATGTACAGAGTGCGATGGATAAATTTTCGTGTAAATGACATCAAATTGAAAATAAGACTGGCATCTCATTTTAACAGACAGAATGCGATGGATAAATTTTCGTGTAAATGACATCAAATTGAAAATAAGACTGGAATCTCATTTTAACAGACAGAATGCGATGGATAAATTTTCATTGTAAATGACATCAAATTGAAAATAAGACTGGCATCTCATTTTAACAGACAGAATGCGATGGATAAAATAAATGACATCAAATTGAAAATAAGACTGGAATCTCATTTTAACAGACAGAATGCGATGGATAAATTTTCGTGTAAATGACATCAAATTGAAAATAAGACTGGCATCTCATTTTAACAGACAGAATGCGATGGATAAATTTTCGTGTAAATGACATCAAATTGAAAATAAGACTGGAATCTCATTTTAACAGACAGAATGCGATGGATAAATTTTCGTGTAAATGACATCAAATTGAAAATAAGACTGGAATCTCATTTTAACAGACAGAATGCGATGGATAAATTTTCGTGTAAATGACATCAAATTGAAAATAAGACTGGAATCTCATTTTAACAGACAGAATGCGATGGATAAATTTTCGTGTAAATGACATCAAATTGAAAATAAGACTGGCATCTCATTTTAACAAACTGACAGAATGCGATGGATAAATTGTCGTCTAAATGACGCCAAAAGGGAAATAACGCTGGCATCTCATTTTAAGACAGACAGATTGCGATGGATAAATTGTCGTCTAAATGACGCAAAAATGAAAATAACACAGGCACCTCAATTTAATAGACAGAGTGCAATGGATAAATTGTCGTCTAAATGATGCCAAAATGAAAATAACACTGGCATCTCGTTTCGACAGATAGACAGGGTACGATGGCTAAAGTGTCGTTTAAATGACGCCAAAAAGAAAATAACGACATTTCGTTTTAACAGATATAGTTACCAAAATTCCAGATAAATATTTTGAAAAATTAACAAGTAAATGTAGTTTTATTTTAATTTTAACATTTTTATATCAAAATTGTAGTCTCGTTACTAATGTGTTTAATGCTTTGCTTTATAAAAGATCCCTTTTTTGTTCATATAATTTTGATTGAAATTCCTTGAAGTTTCTCTAATGTATACATTTTAGCAGTTATTTCCAGTCGTAGTAGCGTAAAATCCTCCTTCAAATTTTAGCTCATTGTTTTGTTTTGTATTAATTCTTTGTTTGGGATGTAGTTGTG